ACAGCTGACATGATGATGATGATGACCCTTACAACCTACCTAACAGTTAGTCAACTTTGTATGAATCGACTTAGATTGGTAGCAGTCATGCGTGACAATATCACAACCCGAGGTCCAGAGAAGAAAGCGAGCAGTGGTTGTGCAGCACACAGGCATGTGTAAAAATGTATGTACACAAAACGATGTGCGGGAACATAGGACAAGGAATGGGGAAAACAAAGCGATACAAATATAAGGATGAGTTATGATGATCTAGAGCAGGAATTCTCGTGAGTGCCTTGGCGTGGAAGTCATTCCCCCAGGTTTCTACGGGAAGAAATAAACGATATCAGGCTTGGAAATTCTGAGGAGGATATAACTGTTCTGACAAAAAGGTTAAATTAATTAGGGCAGGGTGAAGGAAACTCAGTTAGATGAGATAGAATTTTCAGGCACACAAGAAGTGCTACATAAGGTTGTATAATGCGGTGAAACTTACCGGTTAATATAAGGATTGTCACCTCGGTTTGACACCGCAGCTCACACGCCTTCAAAATAGTGACAACACAATGGCAGTCTTTGTAACGTTCGTATTACACCAAAAATCAGTGCCACAACTTTTCGAAAACCATGTCCAACAACAACAACCACTTTGTTTCTTAGCCGTAAGGGGCAACCCAAAGGTCGCTCCAAACTCTGACCCTCGGTTACGAAACAATATGGTGGATTCTGTTGTAAAACAAGGCACCAGCGCCAGCATCAGACACCTGCCCGCCTACATCGTTTCATAAGGCAGTTTCCAGCATGCCAGCCACTCAATCCCTATTTCGCGTAATATCAGCATGGAGAGATGTAGGTTAGTTTCTGCATATGAGCAATATTCGATCGTCTCAATGAATGATACCTTGGCTCCGTGAAAACGCGCTGTTATGCGCAAAAAGTCATTCACTTCAATAACTTTTCACTGGCTAATTCACACGGTATAAATTTACAGAACGTCACATTTGGATGAGGCACTTGCTATTTGTTCACATCAGGGGAAAAGCAGTAAACCTTCAGCGTTCACGAATACCATCCAACAGCCATAAAGGCAGTCCCTCAGTGATCGTTCATTTGGCGACCAAAGATGTCAGCAGAGTCCGCACACGAAATGATGATGATCATCATCATCAATGACAGCAAGCAACCGAAATGAGCTAGTGATTGAAACTTTGTAGTAAATCAGGCGCGCATCCTGCTAAGGATGGTTCAAGCAAGGGCAAGGTGCACAGAGTTTCATCGGATCGGCTGTGGACAACCACTAGAAATGTTTGAGGAACAAGCTAATCATGGTCCCATTTTGAGTCCACGGCCTGAATATGGTCCAAACAGCTCTGTGGTGGTTATCTGTTATGTGCACTCCAGTGATCTCTTTTTGTGAAAGCATACACAAACTGCATACAAATGAAGCACCGAAAAGCCTAACGTCTGACCCTCATCCAACAGAACTTCTGGAGTCACTGATGTGCCCAGACGGTGAGAAAATTCATCGGTGTTAAACTGGAAATGCCCATTACAGAACAACTTACCTGCGCAGAGCGGAGAGGTTCACCTTGAGGTAGACCAAACTGACGAAGTGGCGTTCTGGTCACTAGTGTCTGGAAGAATAGGAAAGGGAAATATCTCATACGTCGCACGGGCGTTTCCTTGAGAATTTACCGTAGGAGCCCGTCGGCATTAGATCAAAGGATGTGAACAGCGCGAGTAGATGCTGATTAACAGCGTCGCGTTCCGAGAGAGTTTACTTCTACTGCTTAAGTACCAATCCCTACGTGAATGGTACGGGATTCGACGACGAAACAGACAGTTAGGCGCTCTAATCTTCCCACACATTTGTGAGGAGTTCAACGTTGATTCCAAACCTAACGAGACAGGTGTAGTGTGCTTCCCGGCCTTGTAATTGCAGGATGAAACCCGAAACTGAGATGATGAAATAACCTCGATCACTCTAAATTCACAACTAACAAGTAGTATCACAACGAATCTCACGCACGCTGGTTTGCGAAAGCTGATCGCTTTCGAATAAGAAATGTGGATTGCATAAGTGAAACTCGAAACGAAAAAAGTGATTGCCTGTTTAGACTGCGCTCTTCTGTCATAAACACGGTTTCGCCTGGCTAAAAAGTGCATCGGATGATAACTACGATCGTATTTACATTATCCTGTTACGCACGGAACGCACTTCGGTGCTGGAAGTTCGAAATGTCCCATAATGTCTGATATCATGCCACCTGCCACCACGGGGAACGATTGACAGTACAGTGGGGCGTAAATTCGCTTGCACAACACGCCCGAACATCAGAGGAAAGAGGGGACATTTGGCAAAACCATCCATGTAAAGACAGGGTACTAGCTTACCCTGGATGAATCCAATCGCGGTTTCTTCACGCGGCTTGAAATGGGGGTTTCATTGCACGCCACCTTGGTACCAGGATATCTGCCGCGCACTGAACGATTCGTGCTGCTTATCGCAGGACTGCCATCTCCTTTACGCCTGGGGTAGTAGGTAAAAACTGCAATTGGTCTACGATACAACAAGCGTTCACATACAGGGGGAACACAAAATTGTGACTAGCGGTTGACGGATGCAACGACTCTGAACTGTGACAACTGCGGTTGGAATGACAAACTGAAGAAAACTAAGATCAAATTACCGCTCAGCATAATCGAATAAATTGCTCAAATTAGTAACACACAAAACTGGTTAATAGGAAAAACGACCAAAACGGTTATTGTGAGGTTAAGCAAATGAGAGCTCGAGACAACCCAACGGTTAAGGTGCGAAACCACCGACCCGGATGTCCATAAAATAAAATAAAAACTCAGCCACCTGTAGCACCCTTTTGGTGCCAAGCCACCAGAAGGAAGCACGGGGGCTGCGGTAGGTTTCCGAAGCCTAGACAGGGGAAGTCTAGAGGCAGAGGTCAGGTTCGAACCACGGACCTTCCGGCCAGTAAATTCGAGTTTTAACCACCGAGCCATATCACCCGGAGGTCCATGGTTCGAGCCCAACCATGGCACCTCGATGGCTCCTATTTAGGCCTAGGCGACCTGACAGTATCTCAGCTCTCATGGTTTCTTAGGTTTGCACGACAAATATGCACCAAAACAATGCCACAGTTCAATAACTAAAATTACCAAGCTAACTTAACAGCAACTGCCGAGTGACAAGGAAACTAACGAACCACCTATATGCTATATTTGCATTCGCCATTCACCTTCGGCTAACACTGAGAGAAGCGATAGTGCTCAGCAACAAACTATCGGGTAAAAGTTGGCTGGGGAAAGATCACTCACGCTCGCGTATAGTAAAGTGAACGAGTAGTGTCGCCAAAGTGGGGCGGTCCAATGATATGCAAGTTGAGTCCGCCAAGTATATGTGGGAGAAAGATTGAATAGGGAGAACCGTCCGGTTGATGAGCCAAGTGGGCCCTTACCAGATAATCCTCCATTTCTGATCCACAACCAAAGCCCAACATACCTGCAGATCCAATTCACTGACAGCTCACGATGAAAACCACACTCTGGGACACACTTGCCCAGAGTTTCCGATAGCTCAGTGGTTCAAAACGCAAACTTATTGACGGGAAGGTCAGTGGTTAAAACCCAACAACGGTACCTCGACTGCTCCTGCCTAGACCTGGGCAAGCTTAAAGTGCTTCAGCCCTCATGATTCCTTCGGATAACGTGACGACTGAGTGCCGAAGGGGTTACAAATGGACGAATATTTCTGTCATTATTTATAGACAACCTGGCAACGAGTCCGAAATGCGAAGCTCAATGGTAAAATGTGGAGACAGACCTGCTGTAAGGAATGGATGAGGTCGAATTTTTTATTCGGCAGCTAGGATGGAGGTACTGTACACCGCCACCCCCCCACCGAATTTTCACAGTTCCT